CAGAGCGCCACTGCCTCGAGCAGAGCACATCATCTTTTTGGTGAAGCTGCTGGGGAGAACCTGAGCTGCACTGAGTGGTGCTCAGCCCCACACACAGCACCAGCTTCTCACAAATCACAGCATTAAAACCACTCCTGCTGCTGTGAGCCACAAGCTGCCTTTTCATCACGACATGTGGAATTCCAGCATCATGCTCAGCAGGAGAGCCAGATCTCCTCTCCATGCTGGAAAGCAGCAAAGTTCTCTTTGCAGTCCTCTTGCTTGTGTCCAGCACCTCATGGAAATGTAGAAATTATAGGAAATGTAGATGTAGGGGTTTAAGACGTCATCTCCTTTTGGACATTCCCTGTAGAAATTTTAAAAAATAAATAAATAAATAAAAACCACAAAGAAATGACCATGTGATTATTAACATAAACAAGATGCAAAGGATGGAGAGCCCAGTCAGCTGCAGATAGATARCAAATCTGTGATCCCAAATTGATTTCCAGTGGGCTGGAGAGATGAATCAGGGAGGTCTTGAGTGTGTGCTTTATTATTGATATAAATTACTAACTTCATGAACTTCATTTGACAAAGCAAGCTGTAGAAAGGGAAAGTCAATCCTATCCGCTTCTGGGGGAAGAGAGTCAATTTATAGATCCCAAAGGGACACACCTCCAGTGAGATACATTTGAGCTTCATGCCCTTAACCCCTCAATTTTTGCCCAGTAGGGAGGCAGCCTGGCCATCCAGTAATTAGTAATTAGTCCTGAATCATTTAGGTTGGAAAAGACCTCTAAGATCATCAAGTCCAACAATTAACCCAACAGTACCAAGCCCACCACTAAACCACGTCCCAAAGTGCCTCATCTRCACATCTTTTAAATCCTCCAGGGATGGTGACTCCTGGGCAGCCTGTTCCAATGCCTGAGCAGCCATTTAATGACAATTTTTTTCCTAATCCTGTGTGGATTTCTAAAAGAGAGAGCACTTTTTCTTTCCTGGGGAGCATCGAGAAAATGCCRATATTCCTAATTTCAGGTAGCAACAACCTTGAGGAAGCTGGATACTCCACTGAGTGGCTGATCAATGGTTTCAAAAGTCTGGGGGAGAGTTAGGAGAGCAGGGAGCAGAGAAATACATAACACAAAATTTGTTTGAAATCAGTCTGGGAAAACCAGTCCTGTCTGGTTGTGTCAGAGCACGGTAGGAATAGACTTCAAATCTGCTCTTGGGACAGGGATTATGATCGTCATTTCCAAAGGAAATTCCATTAATATGGGATGGATACCTCAGATGCACCTGCAGCTCCTCTCTGGGAATTTCAGTAAACATCTTGATGCTGTGTAGGGAAATCAGGTACAAAGGATCGGAGTTGGTGATGGCTGTGACCCAAAGTGAGGTCACTGAGCTTGGGGAGAGCTATTTACTTGAAGTGAACACAAAAGCCAGAGCTCCAAGTGTCAGGCCAGGCCAGCTGCAGATCCACACAGCCAATGGTTCATTCAGTGCCTGAGTGCCTTGCAGAAAGCAGAGAGAAGAGGATTTTCTTCATTTTAGAAAGCCTCTCCCTTCAGAAAGCTCTCCCTTTCTGTCTGCTTTCCATGAGGCAGAGGTCTTTGCTTTGACCCTTGAGCAACCTTGAGGAAGGGGAATGCAATTTTTTTCTGAGAAAAGATCAAGGTAGTGGGCAGTGAGAGGGGAGGGCTGAAGGTAGAAGTTTGTACCACATTTCTTCATGCAGAAATGGCAAAGATGGCAGTGGCTTTACCACCAGCAAGTTGTTTTTGTCCCTACCCTCTTATCTGGTGGGCAGATTGATTAATGCCTTGTGTAGTTCTCTCAGTTTTGCATTTTTGCCCCAGCTGCAGGTGCACCATTTTCAGCTTTTATCACTCTAGATATCTGATTATAACTCACCATTGACACCTCAACAAGCAAAATTTGCTCAATTAAAASTGCACAGAGCATCTGTTGTTGGACAGGTACAAAAACCAGCAGCTTTCAGTCCATCTCTCAGCTGTGAAACCCTCACCCTGTTCCTGGGAGTGATGACCTTATGGCAGGAGCTGCTTTTGCCCACCCAGATGAACTGCCAACCCCCAAACATGCTGCAAACACAGCTCTGAGCTTTCTTCAGCCAACAACAAGGAAAAAATTACTTAAAGCAGTGCATTGCACAGACAAGTTAGTCTTGGTGACTCTTCTGAGTAGATATTCTCAAGGTGGGGCACAGACCAACTCTACCTGACCCTAACTGAGGTTTGATTGTTTTTCTTTGGCTGCCTGATTTCAACTTTAGTGATCTTTGGTCACCATCTAGTCTGCTTTTTTAATTCCTAATCAAACACTGACTTATTTTCCATGTGTTTCATGAGTACATTGCCTTTTAATGCCACTTGAACACCCCACTTTTGACCACAGGGAGTAGCTCATGTTTAAACAAGCACTAAGTGTAATTAATAGGTTTACCAAGTTTTGAACCAAGCTATTTTACAAAATAAAAACATGCAAGGATTCCTTAATCTGCAATTAAAACAAATACCACCAAAAATAAATGTCTGAGCCCTGGTCCTTCCAAGAACTACAGCAGCTCCCTGGAGAGGGATGGAAATCAGCAAACACGTTTCACATGACAGCTCTCAATATATTTATTTGCATAACTGGATTAAAGAAGTGCATCCATGTGCCTCTAAATCTTATTATTGTTTATTACTCTGGGTATCAGACGAAACATTAATTAAATTGGGCAGAGATTCTTGGGGCTCAGTTCAGAGAATTGAGGYTCAGTGAATGTGGCTGTGCTTTGGTGCCTATGGAGCCCCCAGACCTCAAGCTCAGGGCTGGACCTCCTTTGTGCAGGAAAAGCCTGGAAAAATGGCATTACAGGGCCTCTGAGGTGGACCAAAGGGGCTGTGGAGAAGAGAAGGATCTTCAGAAGCACATCTGGGGAATGCAGATCATTTCAGGGTGCTCTGAAACCCACTCACGAGGAGGGCCTGAAACATAAACAGGCTCAGAGCTCTCTGCTGCAGGTCCTGACAGAATCAAGGCACACATAGGTTAAACCAGCACTTAGATGAGGGTRTCAGCTGTGCTGGGCATCTCCAGGAGCTGCCAGGCCTTGGAACTGCTCTAACAGCAGCTCCAGAGGCAGCTGGAAGTGAGATATTCCCAGTGCATCTGTCACTGTGGGAACAACCTGTGCACTGAACAGCCCCTCATTTCTGTCACAGGGAAACCAAACGGAGAGAGAAATCCATGTTTGCTTTGTGCTGCTCTCTGCAGTCGCCATCCTCAGTCATTATCATTCAAGAGAACAGGAATCAGTCAAACTGCAGTGCTGGCAAATAAGAGGAAAAATATGGTCTGTAAGGAGGAAATGCTGCCAGATCTGCTGTGGTTAAGAAAGTCTTCCCAGTTACTCCAGTGAGCTTTGGATCCCTCTGGATAAGAGCATTGTCTGTATTTAGTGCAGGAGATTGTAGACATTATCAGCCACCTCAATTTTAATTAACCTTTACAAACTGATAAATTAGCAGTTTGGATTTACTTGAAGAAAAATCTCTAAAAATCAGATTTTTGTAGTTTAAAGCTGCTTTTTGCATTGTTGTTTCAGTGCTCTCTTGGTGTGCTACTCTCTGTTCTCTTTAAAAGAGTCCTGAAAACAAGGTTGAAAAGCTTCTAAAATTAGATTGGTTTGTTTAGAAGTGGGCTTTTTGCCTTTTCAAAGTGGCCAGTTATTACACTAATTTGCTATAYTGAGCTCCAAGGATAAACCATTTCCTAAAATTCAGTAAAAGCAAAACATTCTTTAGAAGGTCACTCAAGTCTTTATATGGAGATAAGTGAGGCAGACACACATAAACACAGAGTGAATGCAAGCAATGCCCATTTTAAAGGAACTTTCTTCATTCAGTGTCCCTGTAATCAGCTTTTAATGTCCTCATTACCAACAGTAGAAACAACTTGAAATTCTAGGAAGTTTGTGAAATCGGATTTCAAATGTTTTCCCAACACTTTCCCCAGGGTGTGCATAGATCTGGAAGGTTTTTAATCAGATTAATTTTACTGAAACATAATGAGCAAATTGTACTCACATTTTAAGAGTAGGAAAGCATTTATGAACAAAAGGAACTCTCCTCTCCTTCCCTCTGCCCTCGTGTCCATTTGCACTGCCCCCAGCCCAGACCTCTCTGGCCATGTGCAGATGTGGTCACAGAGCTGCCCTTGCTGACCATGGCCAAAACTGGGTTGTGCTGCTTCCCTGGCTGATCTCAGCTCAGTACAGGAAGTTTCTCTTGCTGTCCCAGATTCCAGCTGAGCACACAGGAAGAAACCTCTCAGAATCGATGTGTATTTTCAGAACTTTGTCCTGTGCATTTAACWGTTATCTCAGGTATTTTCAGGGAGGAAGAAACTAGAAACCATTAGGTTGATTATAGCTTCCAACTCCCCTTCTGACTGAAAGGTGAATRTCAAAGGAAATTGTTTCTTCCCAGAAGACTCCTCCAAAGGAGAGTGCCTGCCTGACTGGCCGTGCAACACCTGTACTTGGCTCAATATCCACAGCCCCCACAGCCCTCTGGATCTCTGCAGACACTCCAGAAGGGCAGTGTCAAAGCCTCTGGATCTCCCTGGAGATCAGAGCTGATGGCAGCATTGTCACCTGTCAAAATCAGCTCCTCAAGGAAAGGGTGGAATTCATCTCGGCCCTGGAAACACTGTGGGACAACGTGACAGTGTCAGCAAATTGGGGCTACCTGAGGCAATGGCTCTAACCCAAAAAGGACTGCAGGAATATTGTGAATCCTCTGCCCTGGAGCCTGWGCTGAGGAATGGACTCTGGGTAGATACACAAATGTACCAAAACATTCCCCCTTTGAGATATTTAGGTTTCATATCCATCCTTGCTTCTCTTTGTCCCCAATACCCATCTCTGTAATGACAGTAATATCCCAAACACAGAGGAAGGATCCCTGCATCTTWTTATGCTAACATCTCCTTGGCCTCTAACTCCAGTCAAAGGAATAAAGATGTTTTTGGGGCATGACATCTGCCTGTCATTCTCCTTTAGAAGTGGAGGTGCTGGGGAAGATGCACATGGGACTCGTGTTGTTTTAATTGAGCCCTAAGGACAAATGTCAGGAATGAGGGCTAATTAGAAGTGGAAAAGACTTACAATGAAACTGTACAAAGGAGGAGCACTCCCACCAGCTCTCATTTACAGCACCACACTGGCCATAATGCAGTTTGTAGTGGGTCCAATTTTCTTCTTCCTCCAGGCAAACATTTTTTTCAGCTCTCCCCTGAAGCTGTCATGAAGCCAAGCATAGAGGAAGGCGTTGGTACAAGCAGACATCATTGCAAACCAGTGGCACAGCAGCTGGATGAAGTTGAAGTACTGCTTGTCAATCAAGCTGATGTCGATGTCCTTTATCATGTTGAAGATGTGCAGGGGCAGCCAACAGACCCCAAAAGCTGCCACCACTAAAACCAACARGCGAAAAGTCTTCCTCCTCCTGGCACGGTCCCACTCAGCTTGGCCCTGGGTGACATTGCCTGGCACGACACGGTTCTTCAGCTTGACCGAGATCCTCAGGTAGGACAGCGAGATAACAGCCAGAGGCAACACGTAGGTGATGATGAGGGTGCTGTAGGCGTAAGCCAAGCGATCCCTTTTCATGTGGAACCAAAACTCCTCGCAGATGGAGAAGTCCAGCTCGGGGAACTCGGCATGGTAAGTGTGCACCAAGGCTGGGGCAGCCAAAGTGCAGCTGAGCAGCCAGATGGCAGCCAGGATGTAGGCACAGACRGGGATGGTGAGCCTCCTGCGGAACGGGTACACGGTGGCACAGTACCTGTCCACTGCAATGACAGTCAGCGTGAACACGGACACAAACACCGTCACGGGCTGCATCAGGAACACAAAGTAACACATGAAACGCCCGTACACCCATCCCCGGGGCTCAAAGGCGTAGGCCAGGGTCAGGGGCACGCAGGTGGCACACATCAGCATGTCYGAGAAAGCCAGATTGCCCACCAGAAAGTTGGTGACATTGTGCATTTTTTTTGTCTTGCAGATAACGTAAATGAGAAGGTAATTCCCGATGACACCAATAAAAACCACCAGCGAGTAGCAGGGGATGATGAGTGGCTTGAAGGACTGAACAAACTGGAGCCCTGAGAATAAATTGCTGGTGTTGCTGTGAATGGCAGAGAGGAAGCTTTGGGAGGTTAAATTGTCCGAATTCATCATTTTCCTCCTTTTGTTGTCTGCCGTCAGCTGAGGGAAGGAGTTACCACTGCACTCCTCCCGCACTCAATCAGGGGGGATAATGAATGGATCACTGGCTGTCCAGAGGTTACCACATGGGTAGTAAACAAGCATCCGTAAAAGCAAAAGGTGAAGTTGTAATCCTCGAGAGGCAGCTTTCAGCAATTCCTAGGAAAAAMAAATCAAATACAACCAATTCCCATTAAAGTCCTCCTGTATTTACTATTAAATCTAGCTTTTGACAGCATGCCACTTAATAAACATTTAATGCAGTGAGTACTTACTGCTGTGGGGTTTTTAATCCCATGTGATTTTCCTGGGGATGCCAAGAAGTGCCCTAGATGCCTGTCTTCTGCAAATCCAGGAGCGTGTATGTGTGTGTGTGTGTCAGAGAGAGAGAGGGAGAGAGAATATATGAGTGAGAAAGAGGGCGATGCGCATTTACAAGCTAAGTGGAGATCACTGTTTTTAAACAGTCTCCACTACTGGGTCACGACAGATTTGTGTGTGAGCTTTTATCCCCATTGGCTGTCCTGGGTATTACGTGGCTCTTTGCGTGGTTTTTTTTTTGCTGATAGTAATTAGTTCTAGAATATCCTTTCAAAAACTCCCCTCTCCTCCCAGTGCATCTATAATTGCCCCTCACAGCTAAAAATCAATTTACATTCATTAACATGAGCCTGCACAATATCTAATCCCAGATTCACTTTGCCAGAGCCCTCAGTGTCCAAAAATACTACCTGTAATTTTGTTGCTTTAATGTGTCTGTGGAATAGAATTTTAATAACASGCTGAAGGCAAATAAATGTTTATGCCACTAGAGGGTCTCAGTTATGTACCTGGTGAACAAAGTTAGGATTAGAAATGTACATTTATCTTGTAGCACAAAGRATCCTATTTTATTTAAATTTATTTTTTCACTGGTGCTACAGTGTTTGCTCACCTACTAAGACTATTTTCAGTAGGATTTACACATCTTTAAAAGTAAACAAAGACACGTGAGCATCTCAAAGGAAATATTAACATCCAAATAGGTTAACTGTAAGGGTTTACCTGCAGAGAACTACAGCAAACTGCTGCTAATATTGCAGCTACCCAAAAATATTTGGGTGTTTCTTCATTCCTGGGTTAGATTTGTTAACCTTCTCTATGCCAGAAAAAAAGTGCTAACTGGTCTGGAAAACAATCTATGCTTGTTTTGCTTGGTTCAGAAAGTAGAAAACAAAAATAAATCAGGGTAAGTGCTCACAGAACATTTTATAAGATATCCCCAACCAGCTTTTGTTTATTGTTCCAATTCTCCTTTAACTCTTTTTCATTTCAAACTGGGACCAGGCCCTGAGCTGGAGAAAAAGAGTGAAAAACCACTGCTTTTGTTTGTACCAGTTAGGGAAAGTAAAAAAATACATGGAGCAGCCTAACTTCTGAATGCTTCAGAGCAGAGAACATTGTTGGGCTCTGCAAGGCACTCAGGGGATTTAGACACAATTTCAAATGGCAGTTTATGTCCTGGTGTGTTAGACTAAGGAAATATTAACCCATTATTTTCTATGAGGCTACGGGCAGAACTATACCCTTYTATTGTTTCCATGTAATTTGACATAAATCAGAACTTTAAATAGATTTCTTTTTTGTCCTCCTCCTTTCCCTGACCCTAAAACAGAAATTAAACATGCTTAGTCCCTGTTCTGATCAGAGACATTCTGCTTGTAAAGGATGGCAATTTCAAACAATTTCAAACAATTTCCAACAGGCAARTGCTGACTCTGTGCTGCAGCACCCATGGCTGGGTCATGTCTTGCAGGGGAATATGGAATATGGAATTCCAGCCTGAGAGGAGAACGAGCATGTAACCCCATTGCTCAAGAGTGAAATCCTTCACTTCATGGCTATAGTAACCTACCCATGACCCAGACTAAAAATGGGATGTTAGAGCCCACTTCAGAGTCCAATCTCTCCTGTCTGAGCTGGATGGGACCCAGGGGAATGTGGTACCTCTTTATCTCTACGTACCCAAATCCAGAATAGGAGGGACTGAGGGTAAGACGTTGCAGAGGTGAGGAAATAAGAAATTCCTGCTCCTGTCACCACCCAAGGCAAACACACTGCTTGGTGACAAGCAGCACTCTGCAAAATTTGTAAAACCCATAAACTCAATTGCTCCATTCAATGTGGGAGAAAAGTATAGCCTRATTTAAAGTAGGATTGCAGTAGGCTTTGCAAATGGCCTCAAATAAAAGCCAAAACAAATAGAAAAATGAAGGTCTTCATACTGCCCACATCTTACAAGGCTTGTGCTAGGAAAGAAGCCTCACATTAATATMATTGCAAACATAATAATTTAAAATTTCATTTTTAACTAAATGAATTTTTTGTTTCATTCCTGAGACCTGCAGTGTAGATCCAATAAATATCCTTATTTTATTCCTGTGAGAAAAAGGTTTATTCTTCATTATACGAGACAAATCAAACGCAGTATCATCTCAAAAAGCCTTCAAGGTCACCCTAATGACCAGGTCACAAAACTAAACTTATATATTCTTTTATTTGAAGCTGTACCAGGCAATCTTTCTGCATTTTCTCTTGCCTTCAGATTTATTTTCTTCACCTCTGAAACCAGTAACCAGTACACCTTTTGTTTGAAGGCTCCCACCTATTTCCCTTAGTGATTTTCTGTTTGTTTTGGCTTCAGGCAGAAAATGTCTTCAGTTCAGCTGAATGCCACAGCCAAGATCTGGAAAGATAATATTTAATAGAGACTTGAAGAGAAAAGGTATTCCAGCAATTTATACCAAGGAAATGATCTTTTCTCCTTCTAACACTGCAAATAATAATCTTGTTTAGAATTTCTGAGGCTATCTGACAGAGTCCTTCCTGAAYTGACTATAAGTCCATTTCAAATGCAGAATTCTCTCATTAAAAGAGAAAAGGTCACAGGAACTGCATTACTGTCATATTAGAGCTGTTTTGACATTCCAAGTGTACAAGGGTGTCACACACAGGAATGATGATTAGTGTCTGGTTGAACCTCTGCTCTTCCTTGAGCCAACAGAGAATGTTATTCCAAGTTATGGCCAGACCAACACTTCACAGAAATGTTTCACAGCTGAGCTTTAATAATCTCATGTGTTAACCTGTCCAGCTCTGCACAGAAACTCAGAGTACAAACACTGGGAGCTGCTTTTAGGCTTTACAGACCAAAACATTTTCTTCTCTCACTAAAGTCTCAGTTTCAGCTGCWTGTTTTCCATGTTCCTGTTCATTTGTCCTTTTTTTTCCCATAAAACACAAGTGGTTTTGCATGACAGAACTACTTTAAAAATTCTGTCGTGTTCTTCCAGGAATGCTCTGTGCAGAGYAGATCAGGATTTTTTTGCAGAGCCYATAATAAAAACAGATGCTTTGCATATTTTGAATGATGTAGAACTGGGGGTTCCTTTATCAAATTCTTCTTTTGGCCAGCCAGGAAACAAAATTTGTTTCATGCAACAGTTTCAATTCAGGGCACTCTGTCCCTCTTTCATTTAATCATGTAAATGCATCCTGCCTGTCCCTGCTGTGGCCTGCAACATCACAGTCCCTACACTCTAAGAACCATATTTACAACTAAGGGTTGTTTTTGGTTTTTTTTTGGTTTGTTATTCAGGATTGGGTTATTTTTTTCATTGGGTAGGAGTTTTTTTGGTTGTTGCTGATGCTTTTCTTAAATTCAAGGCATCAAACTTTGATAGACACAAGATTCAGGCCTAAATAATTCACTGTAGCTGAAAAAGAGCACATAAAGTGGAGGCCCTTTAGTCTGACAGTGGTTTTACAGTAGGTTTTAGACTAGATTTAAGGACAGAAGAAAGTTTGCAAGGGAGAGAAGACAGACTAGGATACCAAAGGAAGATTTTGTCATATTAACGTTCCATCTGTGTCACTAAAATTTTGTTCTCAACATAGGATATGTAGCAGTTTGGGTTTGCTTAATTTATGAGAAACCATCGTCTCTACCAGAGGAAATATCCTAAGAACTGTGAGGCAGGCAAAAACCAGCAGCAYCTATTAAGAAATTAGACCAGAAAACAGCAATTTTTCATGGTCCTCAAAAACCTCACTTGGGATTGACCAGCCTTGGTAGCTCCTTTCATTTTACCATGTTAGCACAAAAAGCAGGAGTGCACCCAGTAAATTTGATAGAAACACCAAGTTTGGAATCAGAGATGACATGGAAGATGACTGCACAATTAAGCAGGGAAACTTTGAAAACCTGAGGGAAAACAGAAGGAAAATTTGTCACAAAAGACAGAATCAAGGTCACCCCAATAAGAATTCTCACTGTGGCTTAGGATGAAGTAAATTGTGTTGCTGGTCTATAGAAAAGAGCAGGCAGTGCATTTGAAATTGCAAACAGAAGAAAATCTACTGCTCTGTGAGAGTTTTCTGGCTGAATTTGCCTCTACTTCCTTGCAATCTCTGGACAATTTTCTTGCTGTAAGTGTCTATTCACCAGAGCAGAATTGCACTGTGTTCTTTAAAAGCACTGRGGAGGATGGCAAACTCCAGGGCAGGAAAACACACATTTAGAGAAAGGAACAACACTAATGAAAGAACAAATTCACTGTGGGCAAATTTAGGATGGAAAGTAGAACACTTCTAGGTTGGAGGGCAACAAATTGCCCCTTGGAATTGCTGCTTTTGGAGCAATCAGTGTATCACAGGGGATAAAAAACATACATGTAGACTGATTTCTTGCATGGGGCTTGGGCTTCAGGAGGTTCCTTTCCATCTTTCATCAAAACAGACTTTGGACTGTACCCACTCCTGCTTGAAAATAACTCCACCACTGCCTTTTCAACAGTATTCCCATTGAGAGTAGGAAGATATAATTCAAAGATATAATTCAAATTTATATACGTGCACACCCACACACATGGGCACAGCTSAGACTAAGTCTCAGGATGTTTCTAGTATTCTTTGTCATTTTTCAGTGGGGAGATCRTTGCAGTGGTGCCTGTGAAGATCTGCTAGAACAGCATTTGAATTTTTGCCAGATGAACTTTCCCTGTTGCTGGTCTTGGCACCTGCTCAGAGCAGCTGATTTACAAAGTGGGGAGAAAGGCAGGGTCAGCACAGGCACTCTGTAAAAACATTTSAGCCACAAGGCACTTTAGTCACTGCAATCACTGATTCTTCTTTCTCTGATCTTCCTTCCTGCAAAATTGCTGCCAGGAGACTCGATACAAGCAATCTTGATTCTCCCACATCCCCGCCCCCTTAATATTTTCTTTGGCAGCCAAACCCAAGCAGGAATTAATGATCAAGAAATAGGCTGATCTGATTTTTTTATGTTAGGTTTTGGTGTACAGTTATTATGGGCTTTTTTTTGTTTGTGTTTGAGTGTGCAGGTTTTTTGGTTTTTTTGGGGGGGAGGGGAGAAGGAATTTTGGGATTTTTTAATTTTGGAATAAGCACAGAATAAATAGGTAGAA